TTATTTGTATGTCAATTTGTGGTCATTGTATGTCTTGTTGTAATTGCTTTGTGTCTTTGTAGTCATTTTGTGTCTTTTGGTTGTCATTTGTTTATCTTTGGGGTCAATTTGGGTATTTTTGTAGTTTTTTTGTCCGTGGCTGTTTTGCCACTTTTCATAGTTTTTGGTTCTCTTTGCACCTGTAGTTGTTATGATCATTTTATGTTTCTTTATTACTCATTATTTAGTTATTTTGTATTATTACTAATATCTTCCTTCGTGTTTCTAACAACACCGTATCTTCTCATCCCCAGAAAACCCACCCATCCCTTCTCCATCACCAATCACCCGTGGCGTTTCGATGCCTAACGCCCCAGAAGGTCAGGGGTCAAACCTCCCCGGGCCCTCGGACCCCCCCTCTGTGCGTCAGAGGCCCCTGGACACAGAGGACGAGGAGAACCGCAGCCTGATGATGACAAGGGAAGCTGCGATAGTTCGGAGAGCCTCCAGCGCCGAAATCCACTGGACCTGCCCCGTCACTCACTCCAGGGAGAAGTTCTACACCGTGTGCTCCGACTACGCTCTGCTGAACCAGGCGCCGTCCGTGTACCGGCCCGCGGACATCTCCAACATCTCCAACACCTCCAACATCTCCAACGTCTCCAACATCGCCAACACCTCCAACATCTCCAACATCTCCAACATCTCCAACATCTCCAACATCTCCAACATCTCCAACATCTCCAACATCTCCAACTCCAACCTGCAGGACGGGAAGCCCAAACCTGAGGAGGAGTTCTGCGCCGGCCCCTCGGATGCTGCGGGGTCCGATGGAGACGGAGACGGAGACATGGTGGAAGTGTTGTCCAAACCTATCCTGGCTTGGGAGATAGACACCACGGACTTCAACGCTGTGCTCACTAGAAAAATACGAACAAGTAAGAAGCGTGTTGTTACAGAGCGGTGCGGGGTGATGTGTTTTTGGAGGTTGACCGTGAAGTTGGCATCGTCCTGGTTACCTCGGAAAAAGCTAATGGGATTTTATATCGCACAAAATAAGATCTGTGGCAATCAAAGGTTTACGAGACTTTCACATTCTGTTTAGCGGGATAATCTCCACATATCAACACCACACTTTATGATATTTAAGGCGTCAATGCAACTGGCAGAAGTAAAATAACTAAAGTAAGGGTACAAAGGAACTACATGGCGTTTAGATCAGACACTTAGAAGGTTGTAGTTACATTCAGAACTGACTGAAAAATAGAAAATTATATTTATGTATCATTTATTTTGTGCATTGTTTTTATAATTTTGCCATCACCTAAAGATGCCACACCTGCTCGAGGTATCAGGATATTAAATAACGTGTCTGTTCTTTAACTGTTGAACATTGCTTTAGCTTCCTTTAACTGTTTTTCAGGTAACGTGAAGAAGAGCAGCTCAAAGAAGATGAAGTCCTCAGACAGACAGAGCAGGAACCTGCAGGACGTCGCTCCTCACGCCTCGCAGGAGGACATCAAGCAGAGGAAAGTGCTCGACCTCAGGAGATGGTAAACTTATAATCATTTACATCAGGCTTTAAGAGAGGCTGCAAAAACATGCAACCAAGACACGTCTCAGGATCAACTTTCAAGGTTCTTTATTTGTCAGAAGAACAGAGCTACAGTGTAGTTCTGTAGATGGAAGTCTTGTGTCACAGGCTTTTCCAACAGAGCAACACAAAACACAGATAAACAGACAAATATAGTGCAAGTAAATACAAGAAGAAAAATGGTGAAATAGTGCAATAAGAGTCTATATGCAAGTCATTGAAATATGATATATTAGGTAATAGATAAATAATGACTAAGTAGCAGATGAATATTGTGGATGTTGTTTCAACAGTTGAGGTGTTTAACAGTCTCACTGCCTGAGGGATGAAACTGTCTCTGAGTCTGGTGGTTTTAGTCCGGATGCTTTAGACGGCAGCAGACTGAACAGTTTGTGGCTGGGGTGATGGGGGTCTTTGATAATCCGGAGGGCTTTCTTCCTGAGCCGCTGGGAGTAAAGGTCCTCCATGGAGGGCAGCTCCGTCCTGGTGATGTTCTCTGCAGTTTTCACCACCCTCTGTAGAGTCTTACGATTGAGGGCGGTGCAGCTGCCGTACCAGGCCGTGATGCAGCCAGTCAGGATCCTCTCTATGGAGCACCTGTAGAAGGTACTCTCTATGGAGCACCTGTAGAAGGTACTCTCTATGGAGCACCTGTAGGTCAGGATGCTCTCTATGGAGCACCTGTAGAAGGTACTCTCTATGGAGCACCTGAAGGTCAGGATGCTCTCTATGGAGCACCTGTAGAAGTTGCAGAGTCCATGTTGAACCTCCTCAGCCTGCGGAGGAAGAAGAGCCGCTGTCAAGCTTTTTTAGTGATGGTGTGAAGAGTCCATGTCAGGTCCTCAGAGATGAGTCCATGTCAGGTCCTCAGAGATGAGTCCATGTCAGGTCCTCAGTGATGAGTTTATGTCAGATCCTCAGTGATGAGTCCATGTCAGGTCTTCAGAGATGAGTCCATGTCAGGTCCTCAGAGATGAGTCCATGTCAGGTCCTCAGTGATGAGTCCATGTCAGGTCCTCAGTGATGAGTCCATGTCAGGTCCTCAGTGATGAGTCCATGTCAGGTCCTCAGTGATGAGTCCATGTCAGGTCCTCAGTGATGAGTCCATGTCAGGTCCTCAGAGATGAGTCCATGTCAGGTCCTCAGTGATGAGTCCATGTCAGGTCCTCAGTGAAGAGTCCATGTCAGGTCCTCAGAGATGAGTCCATGTCAGGTCCTCAGTGATGAGTCCATGTCAGGTCCTCAGTGATGAGTCCATGTCAGGTCCTCAGTGATGAGTCCATGTCAGGTCCTCAGTGATGAGTCCATGTCAGGTCCTCAGTGAAGAGTCCATGTCAGGTCCTCAGTGATGAGTCAGGTCCTCCTCAGTGATGAGTCCATGTCAGGTCCTCAGAGATGAGTCCATGTCAGGTCCTCAGAGATGAGTCCATATCAGGTCCTCAGTGATGAGTCCATGTCAGGTCCTCAGTGATGAGTCCATGTCAGGTCCTCAGTGA